ATAATAATAATAATAATAGCTAACATTTATGTAGTGCTTGCCATGGGCCAATCACTGTGCTAAATGCTTTACAATTATCATCTCATTTGATCCTCACAACAGCCCTGGGAAGTAGTTGCTATTATTATCCCTATTTTTCTCAGGAAACTCAGGCAGATAGAAGTTAAGCAACCTGCCCAAAGTCAAACAGCTAGTGTCTGAGGCTGGATTTGAACTTAGGTCTTCCTGACTTTATGTCCAGTGCTCTTATCCATTGCACTACCTACCTGCCTCAGAGGTGATTCTCCTCGTTATAAAATTGGGTGGACTGAGGCACAGAGCAGCTAGGTAAATGACTTGCTTCAAGAACATAGTGAGTGAAAGTGGAGCTGGAGTTAAGAATTCAATTTAATATGTAAACTCTAACATTTATTAGCTTTTACTATGCACAAGGCCCTGTGTTGGTTGCTATGGGGAGGCACAAATACAAAATTGAATAATAGTGTCTGCTTTCAAAGATCGTACGATGTAGTAGAAGAGGCTAAGATTGATACATAACTATAACGCACAATAGCATGTAATAAGTGGACAGGGTTGTCTAGGAGGCAGCATATTCCTCACTGGAAGTTTCCAAGTAAAGGTCCCTTCCACCTCTGAGATTCTGTGATTCTGGACACAGGAGAGGTGAGAGGTACAGATGGGGTGCTGTGAGAAATCTGAGGAGGATGTTCCTGCCCAGTGGAGAAGGTCAGGGAAGGTTTCCCCAGAAGAAGGAGTAAAGCTCGGCTTTGGAGGATAGGTAAGGGATCAATGGGTGGAATGTGAGGAAAGTGTGATCAGGGCGTTCCAGGGATGAAGGATGAGGTTAGTGCCCAGAAACAGAAAAGGAAGAGAACAAGTGGGGATAGTGATCGGCAGCGTAATTGAGTATGGGGAGGTTTTAGAGAGCCTTGGACTCAAGGTCAAGAGGTGTGTACCTTTTTTGTTAACCAGTGAAATGTCCACAGAAGGGTTTTGGGCAGAGGAATGCAATGATCAGAGTTGTGTATTGGAAGGACTCCTCAGGCAGCAGTGTGTGGGGTTCACTTACTTTAGAGCATTGTTGTCACGTGGACTAAGAATCTGCTTTAGTCCACTTGGCCATAGACTGCGAAACAGGGACCGCCTAATGGAGGTAATGAGGGACAAGTAATTGAAAGCTTCTTCACTTGTAGAGCTATCCAGAAATACAGTGGATGGTCTCTCCTTCACCTCAGAGGAGGTGTTGAAGCACAGGCTAGACTGCTGTTTGACTGGAATGTCACAGGGGACTTCTTTAAAAAATTTGTATTTTTAGTTCCAAATTCTTTCCCTCCACCCCTCCCCTTCATCCCCCCCAGCCTGGAATTAAGGAGGGAGGAAATACAGTACCCGTTATGCTTATGAAGTCATGCAAAACACGTTTCCACATTAACCATGTTTGGGAGGGGGGAGCGGTTTAAGCAAGAAAAATAAAGTGAAAAAAAAAACACATGCTTCAATCTGCACTGAGTTCATCAGTTCTCTCTCTGGAGATGGATGAGCATTTTTCCTTCCAGTCCTTTGGAACTGTTCTGGATCGTTGTCTTGACCAGAGTAGCTAAGTCTTTCACAGCTGGTCTTCGTTACAGCGTTATCCTTGGGGGACTCGAAGTTTTCTAGGACCCTGGGATTCTTCAGTCTATGCCAGCTCTCCAGATTCATCCTCCTAATAGACTTGGGCTCTTGGAGGGCAGAAGCTCTCTGTGTTGTTGCTATCATGTTGTTTTTTATTGACCCCGGGGCTTGGTAAGGGCCTGATGAATGAGTGGATTGTGTCACGGTTTGACCAGGAGGCAGAGACCAGTTAAAAGGCTGCTGCCTTAGCCCGTGTCTTTTCCACCGACCCTGCCACCTTCCCCGCTTTGAGTGCGGTTCTTCACAAACCTGCTACTACTGCCCCTCCCCCTACCTCACAAGGCTGTGAAGAGTGGTCTGCGAACCTTCAGTCCCTCTCCTCTGTAGTAGGAGCCAGGTGATCCCAGGTTTGGGGATGGAAGGGAGTCCAACCCCCCCATTTTACAGATGAAGAAATTGAGACTGAGAGAAGTTAGGGGATATGTCCAGGGTCCCACTGCTAATAAGAATTGGAGGCAGGATTTGAATTCAGGTTTTCCTGACTCCCAGCTCAGCACTCTGCCCAGTGGGCCTCCTAGCAAGCGTCTTTTTCCCTTTCTGCTACATTTTCAGTGAATACCTCTTCTTCCCCAAGCCCCGGCCTTGGTTATGACAGGTCCCTCTTATCTCTCTTCTTCCTTGCATCATTGACGTCCTTGCCCTTTCAGGCCTCCCCTCCCTCTGTGGGTGGGTGTGTTTCCTGCTTCTTATGTCCCTGCTCCCCAGGTACAAGGAGCATGAAGATGGTTACATGCGCTTGCAGCTGGTTCGCTATGAGAGTGTGGAGCTGACTGAGCAGCTACTGAGGGAACGAGAAGAGCAGGGGGGGCCAGGCCCAGGGGCAGCACTGACTGAGGGCAGCCTGCAAGGCATTATCCTGGAACCCGGGCCCGAGGAGGAGGAGGAGGAAGAGGAGGAAGAAGAGGAGGTGGAGGCAGAGGAAAGCCAGGGGGCAGCCCCTTCGGCTCCCGCTTCCCAGGACTCTCCCAGCCCTGTCATTCACGTGCTGAACAGAACCAATTCCCACGGTGAGCATGAGACAGTCTATTACGTCCTGGCCCCAGCTCCTGGAGTTCAGCCCGCCTCGCCAGGTGAGGGAGCCCCTGACCCCGATCCCCCTGACAGCATCACGGAGAAACTGCATAAGACCGTGGAGGAGCTGGGGATCTTAGTTGAGTGAGGGGCTGAAGGTCACACTCCTTCCAGGGTCTAGCTGAGACACTGTCTTCCCATCCTGGATCTGAGATTGGGTCTTCTGGTTTTTTCATTTTTGCTCTCCTCTCATACCCTCTGCTATGTCCCACTCTAGAAACACATGGAGGGACCTTCTGAACTGCCCTTGGTGACAAATATGAGGGGCAGCAACATGTGTGGTGAGTGGGTGTGTGAGATGTATGTGGTGGGGGGTGTGTGGAGTTGGGTTGTATGTGTGTGTATCATGTGTGGTGTGTGGTGGTGTGTGTGTGATGTGTGTGGCGTGTGTAATGTATGTGGTGTGTGTGTATGTGATGTGTGATATATGTGGTGTTGGGGTGTGTGTGTATTATGTGTAATGTATGTGGTGTGTGTGATGTGTGTATGTGTGATACGTGATGTATGTGGTGTGTGTGTGTGTGTGTGTGTGTGTGTGTGTGTGTGTGTCTCTCTCTCTGTCTCTGTGTGTGGGTGTGGGTGTGTGTGGTGGGGAGAGAAGTCTCTTAGTCCAAGAGCCAAATCTAAGAAGAAAGGGTTCCTCAAGAGTGGGAGGAGGAGGTGAATCAGGAGATACTTTGGGAGATCAGTGTTCGGGTCTCCCTAAGGATAGACAACATCTGTCTCAACTCTGACTGCAGAACAGGCCGTGGTTTAGAGCAGTCTTGCCAGGAAGCCAGTCCATGGACAGTGTGGCAGCAGTTCTAGAAGTCTCCCCAGGATTTGGGTCTTTGTTGGGTGGGGTGTTTGGTGGTGGAGGGGCATCTCAGACTAAACTCCAAACCTCAAGGCTGTTGAACATAGTGTACCTTAAGGGACACCAAATCATCGTATTTCCCTGGGACTAAGGAGACCATAGGTCTCTCAAGGCTATTTCCCATTCTTGCTCTCCAAAGGCCTCTACCATTTCAATTAGCCCCTATCCCTAAGCCAAGAGGCTTTTCCCTGGTCCTTGGATCCTTCCCCAATTTCCACGTGTGGATTACCCTCAGGACAAGATTGGAGGAGGCATTGACAAGGGGTGCTGAATATCAATAAGATCGTATGATGACTTTTATTGGCAATAAACACCTTATGCCCATCTCATGCTCCTTATTTCTCATGTCCTCGCCTCTCCTTCCATCCATCTGAAGTTGAGGAGTTAAGTTTGTTGTTGTGTGGATTTTCCCACTGGCTGAATAGTTAGAGTGTTTGGGGAAGGAACTCTGAAATGGAGGAGAGCTGACATTCACGTTCCAGGTACTAGGCCAGGGTATTTGTCTTTCTAACATACATGGCCACCCCCTGTAGGATAGGTTGGCCAGGGTGGGTTCAGTTTGTCACTAAGATTCTCTTGCTCTAGATATCATGTTGGAAACCTTTTAACATTCCTATTGTTTGCCTTGCCTGACAGGTGGAATACTGGGAAGCACGTCCCCTTAGGTACCATACCCTTGGTTGGTCAAGCTAATGTAGCATGAATCGACCAGGTTGGGGTTAGGGGCTGCAGGAAGAAAGTTAGATCTGGGTCCTGTGGTGATAATACTCCTATAAGCCTGACTTTTCGGTCAAAGAAGTGGTGCCCTGGTTTTGGGTCTGGGATGGTGGTGCCTTGGAACAGTTATTGTTCTTATGCCATCTGTAAAGAAAGGCCACACAAGAGGACCAAGCAATGGGAAACCTGTGTGTGGGCATACGGGATTGGATTCTCTTCCTTTCTTGTTTTCCCTTGAGGTTTGGACTTCCTTACCATGTGAGGGCACACTCAATAGCTAAAGGGTGTTAACAGTCAGGTTAGTGACAATTCAGCATGTAGCTACAACTAGGGACTTCCTAGCAGGCATTTGGGATGTAAGGGTGGGGCACACTAGAGCATTGAGGCTGGTAACTTTCAGATTGCTGAACTGAGCAGCTTCTGGGACCTGCCTTCAGATCTTGGGGCAGAGAGAGAGAAAGAGAGAGAGCGAGTGTGTGAGCTATGTATGGTAAGAGAGCTGGATTAGACCTGGACCAGTGCAGTCAGTTATGAACTACTGTGCAGAAAGCCAAGTGCCCATGGGATGGAGAAGCAGAATAATTTCCCAAAATCTCAGTGGCTGGTGAGAAGGATCTTCCTTTCCCCTTCTGCTCTTCCCCACTGTAGTTCAAGACCAGAAGCTAGGCCCTCGAACCCAGCACCAAATCTCAGCCTTTTTCTTCACCAAAGGTGTGAGAGGAGGTTCAGCAATGGCATCAGGTAGCATGTGTATGTAAGCATGCTGAAATTATCCCCTTGCATTCTCAATATGTTCAATAAACTGAGACTGCTGAATATTACTCACCGAGTCTCATGAATGTCTTGGTTGGTTGACAACAGGAAATTTTTGGTGGGATTAGGGGTGAGAGGAAAGATGGATAATGAACTTGAGAGTTGTCCAATTTTTTATTCTTTGCATAATATTTAATAACTCCTAGGATAGAATTCAGAACTCAGGTCAATGAGAATTTCTTTCCTGGTGGGTTTTATAAAGTTATTTGGCAAGGGAGGGCTATCTGCATGTATGCATGGATCAAAGGGATTTTGATGGGACCACTGGCCTGGTGGCCAGAATACATCACCCTGGAGGGCAAATTGATATTAGGTTCCCTTTGTGGTTAATGGTCCGCACCCTGTCTGTCTGAGAGCTCATAGAAAGCAAGGACACAAGGGTCAGTTGGCACCCACACAACCCCATCCATGGTCTCTCTTTTTCACAAATCTACGAAGAGTAGAAGGAGTGGGCCTGAAAGAGAATAAATGAGAAGATAAAGGTTAAAACTAAAGGGCAATGCACCAGCCCTGGAGTCAGGAGGACCTGAGTTCAAATGTGACCTCAGACACTTGACACTTACTAGCTGTGTGACCCTGGGCAAGTCACAACCCCATTGCCTAACAAAAAACAAAACAAAACAAAAAAACAAAACTAAAGGACAAAAAGATGAGCAGGGCCCAGAGGGAAAGCTGTTAGTCATGTCTTTGGCTGATAGATGATGTTGCTTCCTATCCAATCTGGACCTCTTTCCAGTCCATCAACGAATATTTATTGAACTATTGAATAATGACTCTTTTGACTTAATCATATGTAATTGGTGGCTCATGGAGTCATTAACTTCTATTTGGTCAATTCTGTTTTTCAATGTGTTATTTTCTTTGCTAGGGTTTTATACCTCTTATTAATTCTCTTTTCATATCTTCCTTCCCTAACTCTAATTTCTTTTCAATTTTTTTTCTTCTACTGCTCTCTTTTTTTGGAGGCAGTTGGGGTTAAGTAACTTGCCCAGGGTTACATAGCCAGTAAGTATCTGAGGCTAGATTTGAACTCATATCCTCCTGACTCCAGGGTCAGTCATCTGTCCACTGAGATACCTAGCTGCCCCTACTGCTCTCATTTGAAATTATTTTTTTCAGCTCTTTTTTTTTTTAAACTCTTGCTTTAATTCTTCCAGGAATTCTGGGCGGACTTTTGTTCAAGCTGAATTTTTCTTTAAAGTTTGGCTTTTTAAAGTCATTCTCTTTTGGGTCTGTGTTTTGAGCTTCCCTGTTGCCATAATAGTTTTTTTTATGATAGGAGTCTTTTTTGTTTGTTTGTTTGTTTGCTCACTATTCAAAAGCCTCTTGGCTTTGGACTTCATGTTGGGGCTGGCTCTGCATACTACTAGAGGGCATGTCTGGCCTGAGTTTTTGTCCTCTGACATCCTTCTGCTGCTTTCGAAGCTCAGGTTGGGGACCTGTAAGCTTACAGTGTTCCTGAAGTGATATGATTCAGGGCAAGAGCTGCTCACTGCCTTTCTGGTCTGAGCTCTGCAGTTTTCCCACTCAGGTTTGGGTCTGTCAATTTATCCCTGGTAGGAAGTTTCTGCCAACTGTGACTGAACTCAGCCACTATTAGCCCACTAGGAATCTCTGCTGATTCCCCAGTGACTGAGCTACAGGCTCCTCTTTGGTCTGGGACCCCTGCCCTGGTTATTCTCCAGCAGGCTTCCACAGAGGAAGTAGCCTGTAGGCTAGAACTGAGTCCCTGCTCTGCTTCTGAAATCAGAGCCTCACAGTTATGATTTGCTTCTAAACTTGTTCCAGCCATTTTGGAGAGCAATCTAGAATTATGCCTAAAGAGTTATTAAACTACCTGTACCCTTTGACCCAGCAATACGCTACTATATCTATTTCCAAAGATGATTGAGGAGAAAGAAAAAGAACTTATATGTTCTAAAATGTTTATAAGCACACAGTGATGCGGTTTAGGGGTTCAGGGGTGCTGGGACCCTAAAATCACAACACATGGGTCCTGCCCGAAAGAATTTGACCCAAGCGTTCTTTCAGCCAAAGACAAGGTGTATTAGAACATCCATCATATTGGGCAGACTCTTAAGGAGTCTGAACACGGGTAAGCAGTGGCTAGATTTTAAAAATCTCAGCATCTTGATGGAGCCAAAATGGACCTTATATACAGAAAGCCTATGGGAGGGATCTAGGAGTGGCCAAGTAATCTATGAGATAATAGAATTCCAGGGACCTGGACCACATGGCCAAGGGAGAATGGAGAAGTGGCCTGGGGTCACTTTCACAATGAAAGGCCAATTGATGGGATTATAGCCTCAGGGGAACGCCAGAGATTTGGCCATGTGGAAAAGTCCGGGGTTTTTCCTTTCTGGGGTCTAGATCCCAACCCCATCATTAGGGCCCTACACTCCAATTCCTTCTCTACCCTGGATTTGAGACCCAGAACTGGGTAGTGGGCAGATGGCCCCCATGGCTGTATCCTAGGCTAATTGAGGGATCCTCTGGGATTTCTGCCTCAGTACTTCCTGCCATGGTACCTGGTTTTAGCCCTCTTTCAGTCCCTGGGTGCTGGACTGCTCCCTGAGCTGCATGTTCCGGGCCACATCCACGCCAGTGTGCACAGACCTCTCTGTCTCCCTAAGCCACCTGGGCTAGAAAAATGACTCAACGTGACTTCTTGACTTTTCCCAATCAGAATTCTGGCTAGTGCATTTTTAAAGATCTTTGTCAAGGAGATTTAGTGGGAAGCTAAGTTGAACTGCTTCCTCTTACTCTTCCATCTTGACTCCTATTCTAATCCTGTACATTTGGGAGGGGACCAGTTCTGGGGCTGGTGTTTTATGGGAAGGGTGAGGTGGCTGGTGAATAGTTATTATCTTCACTAAACAGGACTCTTTGTCATGAGGGTGTCACCCTTGAATGTGTCTGAACATCTAATCCTACACCAGCTTCAGGGAAAAAAAAAAGGTATGA